GTTCAAGAAAAAACAATAACACATTTGACATTGAAAAAAGTGAGGATACAGAAGATGAGAACCAGCTGTCAGCCAACGAAGAAGAGATGTCATAGATTCCAGTTCAACCCATGAGAGAGATTTCAGCTGAGTTAACAGTAGCTATTCTAGAAGGCAGTGACTCTTAGGCAATGGTCGTTTATGCAGAGTATGAGATTGTAGTGCTTCAAACTACCATTTTGCAGGTATTAAGAGGAGCATCAACATAACTGGCATTAAATGTCCAAAATAGCCATGAGTATGAGAAGCAGTTACCAGACACAGGGCAACGCAAGTAAGGAAATTTCAAAATTTTCATATGTATTGCCTACCTCCTAAGTTTAACCTGCGGAGGGAAATCAACAAGTCAAAGATGAGGCTCTTTTGTGCCACTTATGAAAGACTATATAGAGTTTGTGGAGTGTAAAATCAGTTCAGCAATGTACCCATCGACAGCTTATTAGACAAGATGAATGAATCGCAGTGTTGGAAATCATCTTAGGATCTTTGTGGCGGAGAACATTCTACAGTGAGACAAAGGACCATCCTGAGAAGAAAATGCCTCTCCTGAGTGATTATGCATCAGTGTGATTCAGCCAGTCATAGATGTCATTCTAGAGTTGATTCTTCCTGACATACTTATTTATAAGATACATCCAGCCAAGCATAAGGTATTGGAGAAGCATATTATAGACTTACTCGTGGTTTGGCTCGTGAGAATCTGCATTGTTATGCGCCTCTAGCTTAAATTGTGTCAAAAATGGATATATACTTATTCTATTATGATGTGTTTTGGAATGATAACGCCTATAAGATTAACTTGCCAAGAGCTTGGAACGATTCTGCTGCCTTCAAAAGGGGCGACCTGAATCCTATGAGAAAACAAAAACTTCGATAGATGAGGTCGAAAACTCCCCCAAACCCGGGAGACATATGTGGGAGCTTCCCGCAATGGTGTTTTTGTGACCTCTACTACAGTAATGCTACAGTAGCACGAATTGGGCCGCATACGAAAAAACTCCTAACAACCTGGGACCAATCATAATAGCGAATTGAGGGGTCGGTTGACCTTCCTTATGTGGATTTGGTGCCTCCTTTATACAGTAGTTTCAATCCTAATTACCTAGAGCTTATATATTTTATTTTTGTGTTTAGATTTTCAATTTTTCTTCATGTTTTCTGTCAAAATAGCATTCAATGTCCAGATTTTATCAGAGGGAGAGTGGTGCTTTGGCTGTTTGTTTTGAAGTGATGACTTTCCTCCAAGGGTCAAGTGGTGTTCTGGTTATATCTCATTCCTGATATGGTGTTATCCTTCTCCAACTCATTCGTATCCCTCTCGCCTCAGTATCCCTCTCGCTTTGCTACCACACAATCCTCCTCGCTGCAGACGCACAGATAGCCACCTCTCGGCTGTCTTCCTGCAGTTCTTGCTCGCAAAACTACCATCTGCTCATAGCCAGCCATCCAGAATCATTCCTCTAGTACCCCTGCTACTTACCCAACCCCCCCTCCTCTTGCAACCTTCCCTCCCCCTACTGCTCCTTCTAGCCTAATAAGCCTTTTGCTTTGTTGTCTATTGCTATTCTCCGACACCTACAACCTTTCCTCCACCTTCTGTCAGCCTTCTGCCTTGCACCTTCTATCTGCTATTGTTCTAGCACTTCACCAACACTGTCATTATCGTTCCAACTACCCAAAACCATTCCCCATGCCGCCTTGTTGTTGTCCCAACCACAGGAACCACGTCCTCGCAATCTAGTTGTTGTTCATGCCGCCAAGAACCGCCCCTAGCCGTTATTGCCCCATCCACCCACCCCCAAGCTACCGCTTTCGCAAGCCCCTATTGGCCACCACCACCACCACCTGAGATCCTTTAGTTTTTGTGTCATGTTTGTTGATATTTCAGATTTCGGAGACCGTGTTGTTATATTTTCTCTCTCAAATGTGTTGGTTGTAACCTGTTATTTGTTGTCAATAATAATATTTGTTTTTCCTCTTGTGGTTTGAGTTAACTCCCAGTATCATCCACATTAACATTTCTGTAATACCCAATTTGACCAAAAAAAGTAAATAAAATGTACTTAAAAACTATACCTCACATTTCGCATGTCTCGAAAATCATCAAAATTATTTTTATAAAAGTCTACAATTCATTTTGAGTATTTTGATATATAAATATATTATTAGCATATTTTCTATATATTTGATTATAAAAAATCAATTTCAAAAAAGTTAGTTAAATATAAATTAATTTTACTATTTCCTTATTTTAATCACAACGTAAAGAAAATTAATCCTGTAGCAAACCACTAAACAAACGATGCAAAAATTAAATGATGTAAAGGGCTGGGATTAGTTAATGAAGTAAGATAATATCATAATATATACATATACATATATAAATATATACTTTATTTCCTTTGTTCTTCCCCTATCCCGCAACCTGTGTGAACCGAGAGCAAGGTAGAGCGAGGTGAGGCACTGGAAGTAACAAAACAGAGATCAATTGCTTTCGGTTAGAAGTCTAAGAAGTGGAAACCAAAGCATTGAAAAAGATTTTGAGGGGTTTAAGAAGTAACATATGTAAATATATCCCAAGAGTATATATATATACATCTATATATCTATATATCTAAATACAAACACACACACTAAAGAATTCTTTTTACTTTACTGAAGTTTATCCAAGCAGTTGCTACAAGTTGGCTGCAGTGTTCTAGAAGGGAATCAAACGAGGAAGAAGTGGTAAGATTGGCTGCAGTTTTCTAGAAGGCAATCAAACGAGGAAGTGGATTAAGAAAGCTGAGCTTATGGCAAGGAATTTTGGAATTCGTCTGAACTCTAACAAATTATATTCAGATTTGGGATGGAGGCCGTAAGAGCTTGTATGATGAGAAGTCAATTTGAGGTAAAATATCAATTGAGATTATCAAATGTGTAAAATAAAATTTAATTTAAACATTCAAAAATTTTAAATGAATTGTTATTAATAGATTGTTTAATAAAGAAAATGAGCTCGAAGGAGCGTAGGAAGAAACTCTTCATGAGGATGACTCAACAATTGCGGTGAGATGCTAAATTGCTAAAATAAAAAGCAAACTATCTATAGGACTAATATTTATTCTTGTTTATCAATAAATCCTCTTGTTATGTATTGCATTTAGAATTTTTATATATTCAGCATATTTGATTTTATTAGCAAAATTTAATTCATGTAAATAATCACCGATTTATTTTCAATTTATAGTATTTTATAGAAAAACATGATCAAGTATAAATGTGGAATATCATGTCACATTGAATTCCCCAGTGCATGCTATCAAAATTTATTGTTAACAAATACATTCAGTTAAAGCAAGAAATGCAAAACAAAAAACTATAATAGGTTAAGATGATAAAAAAAATAACATGTATTTTGTGATAGATTGTCAGTTATAATAATATGTGCAAAAGAAGATAGATTTCAACGACATGAGTCTTAGTAGAATATTAAATGGATTTCCAACTCATAACATTAAGTTTGAGATGGTTCAACTGAAATCATAGGGCTTTTGAAAAGTGCGATGTTGGACTAACTAACATTTATACATGGCTATAATGGTTGACGGGCTAAGTTATGACCGGATGAATTAAATGTGTCAAAGGTTATACAAATATCATATGACGTTTTGAAGATAAATAATGTAGAGAATAACAAAAAAAGTTTAAATAAGGAACATAAATGCATAAATAGTGTTGACTAGCATAGTGAAATAAAAAACCTTACAGTAGCGGTTATATTTTTTTCTCACTAATATAGTAATAGTATATATTGCTTACAATCATGCTTTCTTTATTATGCAAGTATTAAAGAATGATTATTCATTATTATAGTAGTACTGTGTTAGTTGTGATTATAAATGAAAATACTCATATGACCATTAGACCAAACATATGTTATTTCTTTCTTATATGTTTGAATCTCATTTTGACATATTTATTTCATCGAGCATGGAGCTCATCAAATATTATGATGATGATTTTCAAAAAGGGAAATGGAGCAGGTGGATCGATAATCAGGTGACATTTCTATCTGTATAGCTTTAGATTGTACACTTTTAGATCCTTATAGAAATTGGTGATTCTGACGTGAATAAAAAAACATTTGATGCGTATAATTTTTTATTTAAAATTTGCTTAGGAACTCTATTTTTATATGAGAATTATGTCATACATGCTTTCATACTTGTGTTTGTTAATAAATATCAGAAAAATTGAAATATGAGAATTTTTTTGGTGACTTTTAAGAAGACTAATTCAACCACTCACTCGATCCTGATAAATAGAAGTCAGGATGAGCATTAGAAAAAATTAGATCTGACAGAACTATTCTCCTATGTTACACCTCTAATTGACCTAAAGGTGTCAGCTGGGAGCTTCATGAAATATCTCATGGGAAAGAGATTGTGCTATATGAGCAGAACAACCCTATTTCTAGAACGTCATTCATTTTTAAAACCTAGTCAAATGTTAGAGAGATCACCTTTAATTTTCATTAAAGAAAATTAACATTACAAGCTATTGCATACATTAAAAGGAGAGAAGTTTGAACAAACAATTTTCGCCATTACTTGCAGAAGGGCATGGATCCAATAAACTATTTCATTAGAATGTGTAGGGA